CATTTGAAATCAATGGTGAAAATGGGTACAAATGCGGTGTTATCACTACGCACCTCAAGGTTTGTCTTCACGATCATGAATTCCTCTGTAATAGCCTCTTCCCACCATTTCCAGATATGTTCTCCACTCCCCAACACAAAATTCTTAGTTATATGAATCAATTTCATAAAGAAACAACCGAAGGCAAATAAGTAACACAAATTCTTCAACAACTACTACAGATACTACTTATCTAACCTCGTGAAACCTGTCTGAGGATATGTAGTACTTTTTTCCTGGTGTTCCTGTCTCTGGACCAGTCGATGCTTCAAGGATTGGGCTCCCAACCACAGAAACATCACTGTGGAATTCCTTAATTTTCGTTAGCGTAAGCCCAACCTATGTCCAGTTAAGGTCCTTCCGATGAACTCTCGTTATAACTTATCGGCATTGTCTCTATCCGTGTATGAAAGAGACCCTGTGTGAAATATATACGAAACAAGTCTATCATATATTAAACATATTTAGAACTAGTCTACCTCATTTAAACAAAGTCTATCACATAGGAAACAAGTGTACCACAAATAAAACAAGTCTACCATTTTCACAACTACAAAATTCAACAGAAATTTGTATCTTCTCGCTGGTAGTACTAACCCCTGACTGAAAAAAACGCGTATTTTAAATTTGGAAAGTAGAAAAATAAATAGGACTAGAATTTACCTTGTCTACAGTAAACCCTAAATCTATGTCATTACCTAGCTAAATACAAAAATTTCTAACGAAGAGGGCAACAACGAACTCACCGAAGGAAACAGGAAGAGTCGACGGAGTGGAAAGCAGATTTCAGGAACGTGGGGGAAGACAGGAATCGCCGGAATAGAAAGGAGAAGATAGAATCGCCGATAATTTCTATAGAAAAGTTATTTTTGGAAAGAGAGATTGTAATGTTATTGGGGAAGGAGAAGATATATGTGGTATAAGAAGTACTAGAAACAAGTCTACCATTCATCAAGTAAAAGAAAATATAATAACTCTACCATTCATATGAAACTGTTATGAAATGTTTATGAAACTGCGTATTTGTAGACCATTGTATTGGTTTGTATCTGTGCTTTCTGCATATAAAATCACCATCACCCCGAAGATCTTTCTCACTTCAGACCTTCCAATATGGTCAATCCAATAAACATTAACTATTTCCCTTCAGATCTTTTGTATGAGATCCTTCTTAAAATGACTTCTTCCTCGTACGCTGATTCTTGTCGAGCAAGTATTTTTTCTAAAACTCTAAACAACATTTCTAATGAAGAGGGTTTCTTGAGAGCGTTTGATTTAATACCTGTTAACACACCTTGGGTCTAGGATCAACATGGGAGGAATGGTGCATTCTCTACATGCTGGTTGGAGTTAGGAAATTCAACCTCGCAATTCCTAGGAGGTGTGTCTCTTATTTTCTACGAAGATAGCCTACAAGCAGGTTTGGATTTAATTAGGGTGGCACTAAACACTGGATGCCTTATGGCTACATTCTGCCAAATTATGTTTCTTCTAACCATGGATGCAGCTATGAGGAATTCAACTCCATTCAGGATCTTTCCCTGGCAGATGAAATGAAGATGAGAATGATGATGTATCGCATCAACAGGTGACCATGGAATTTTAGGAAGCCAGACGAGTAACATGAAATGGAATTCCAGATATTTGCAAAAGCTTCCTCAAGGAATTATGTTTTAATTAGGGGTTATCATTGGATGGGAGATAAAAACCTGATTGATACATATGGCGACCAGCTTTATGATCCCTGCTTCTGAAAATTAGAGTGTGCCATACTGTGGAAAACAATACCTGGATTTGGCCTCGTTGATTGTCTTACTTGTTAGATGATGCTAAGAGAATCAAGGGTTACTTCTAGCTTCGTGCTTTAAATTTATAACCCTAAATATCTGCAAATACACAGATGTACGCTGTAGTACTTAGGGGTCGAACCACAGAGATTTTGAGCTTTCAGTACGAATCAATCAAAACTTAAGAATAGTAGAACAAGCAAAATGGGTGTTTTTGGTTTTGGTGCTAGTAAATCTAAATGCAATGAAATAAAGAAGTTGTAAAACAATAAAGATTAAGCGCTGGGTTTAAAGGCTTTTCGCAGGGGTTCATGAATTGATCAAAAGACCAACAAATTGATAAAGGTAATCATCTAGTGAGGATCCCGAACTCGAATGGGTGCAGGTATGATTAGCCAACTCTCTTCACCCTAATCATCTAATCACTCGACACAGCAATTAACTCTCGCTCTCATGCTGCGAATGAAATCATGCATTAAAAACAAAATTCGTCTACGCTCGCGATTCTCTATAGGTAGCTTTTGTCTCCTATAGCGAATTGATATATCATGGTTTTTATGGTTTTTGACCATGATATAGGTCTTATTTATAGAGTATTTTTAGTTTTTCTCGAATGTTTTGGAGTCTTTACAGGTCATAGGTACGTTTGGAGCTTAATTTGTGATTTTAGAGCACTTTGGAGCTAAATCAGGATCAAATTCGCGAAGGACAAATCATGTGCATTGGTGTCGCACGACGCCATGAAGAGTGACGCTCGACGCTTGTCAAAGAAATAAGGAAAATGCGATTTTGTTTCCTGTTTGAAGAAGGAGTTGGGCCCAGAAGTTTCCAGGTAAGCCCAATACGTGTTTTTAAGATATAAATAGGGTTTTTAGTCTCATTTGAACCGGACCTTAGATTTTCAAACAAGACATCTTTTGCACTCTGTTCTTTTTTTAGAGAGAAGATTTTGAACCCCTTCTTATTGCAATCTATTCAATCATGTTTATTGTTTCAATATCCATGTCTGAGTAGTTAGCTTGTTAGGTTTTGGATTCTCATTAAGGTTTTCTCTGAATGTTTGATTAATTGATTAAGTTAGGGTTCATAATCTTAATAGTTCTTCACCATAGGTTGTTCTTAAAGCTAATTCTAGACTGATCACCTAGAACTTAGATCTTAGGCTGCTTAATTGACACGGAAGTGTAACTGAATAACTGGAAAGAACCTAGGGTGAGCAAAGTAGCTATTCGCAAAGGAATTTGGTTTAGATGCTTTGTGAACTTATCGAACTTGAGCATTAAAGCTGGTTTCAATCTTTAAGGTTTGCAAAGGAATTTGGAATTCTAGGATTTTAACATTGATAATTCTCACAAGGGACGTTGGTTAATTATAATTCTGTGATTCGAGTTCAAGAACCGTGCTCATACCTGAACCCTGACTAATCGATTGATCTGCATTCTTTGATTTCCTGAGAAACGCCCTAAGCCAAATTTCCATTCATCTGATTTTTTTAAACGTTTTCTATTGCTTTGTTATTTTAATTTGCATTATTCTGCTTAACGTAATTCGATTTCAAATAGGTTTATTGAGTGATTTCTTGTCTCTGTGGTTCGACCCCTGCAATACTACAACTGCACATTTGTGCTCTTGCAGAGTAGCTTAGGGATTAAACTTTGAGCATATCAAGTTTTGGCGCCGTTTCCGGGGACTTGATTTTGCCACTAGTGCTGTCGCTCGACACCTTTCGTTTTTATAACCTTATTTACTTATTTCGTTTTCTCTCTTTGTCTTTTGTGCTTCAGGTGTATGCATACTCGCGGAACCAGAAGCAACAAGGACATCCCGCTAGTGAATTTGAGCAACAAGGAGCTAGCAGAGTTAAAGTGAACGAACAGAAAAAGCAAAAAAAAACGGCAGAGATGGAGAACGCAAACGGCCTTGTTCGTGATGATGCTGGAATCTGGAGAGACCAAGAGGGCCACATGTGCAACGAGACAGGCCAAAGACTAGATGGGGATGGTAACATCATTTCACCGGCACCTTTAACTGTGGATGTTGTTAACCCAAATCCACCACCTGCACCATGTGGTAATGCTGTGATCGCTCCAAATCAGAGGAATGTTCCAGAAGACCAGAATGTGAGGGAACCTGCACCTGCAGCTGCTCATGGAAGAACACTTGGAGATTACATCAGGCCTGAACAGTTCTATACAAATCGGTCCGCGATTCGCGCCCCCTCGTTTCAAAGGAACGATTTTGAGCTGAAGCCTGTGTACTACACTGTTGTGGGTCAGCATCCGTTTCATGGTCACTCTCATGAGCAGCCTATGGATCACATTGAGAGGTTTAACGACTTGGTCACCAGCATCAAATACAATGGAGTGTCCAATGAATTCCTCTTCTGTAAGCTGTTTTCTTACTCTCTTGCTGGAGAAGCAGCTAATTGGTTGAAGCAGTTGGAGCCAGGATCACTTACTACCTGGAAAGAGACCAGGAACGCCTTCCTGCATAACTTCTACGATGATACCATATCTGAGGAACTGAGACTTAAAATCTCGACATTCTCTCAAGTATCAACTGAAGCGTTCAAAGCTGCTTGGGTGAGATTCAAATCGTACTAGCGAGATTGCCCCCATCATGATTTCAGCGATGTGCAGCTGCTTGGTATTTTCTTCAAATGTGTTGATTGGAGGTATTAGATGGCTCTTGATGCAGCAAGCAATGGAAACTTCAACACCAGATAACCTGACGAAGCTGTTGTGCTCATCGAAAACTTGGCATCTAGCAATAGTACCAAGAACGCTGATTATGAGCGAAAGAAGCACGCTGGGAACATGGATGGATCGCAGATCGCTGAGGTGAAGGCTAAGCTTAACTCAGTGCGTAGCCTTGGGTAAGAAGTCTGTTCGATTCGCACATGAGGTAGAGAGTTTCGAACTAGAGGATGAAGCTGAGGAGGAAGATGTCAACTTTGTCAACGGATCAGGGTTTCAAGGATCTAGGTTTGGTAATCAGCAAGGTAACAGAAGGTTCAGGGGAAATAATCAGAGGAGCACCTTCACCAGTAATCAGAACTTCTCTGGTTACACGCCTAAGCCTCAATACCAGAAGTCCTATTCCAACAATAGTTTTTCCAGAAACTATGGCACTTCTCCAACTCAAACTTAAACTCTTGACAATGAGGTGAAGTCGATGCTGGAACAGATTCTGGAAGGACAGAAGAAGCTCACCGTGGACTTTAATGGAAAGATCGATGCTCTCTACCTTGATCTGAATGGGAAAATCGAGGCTTTGAACACCCATATCAAGCAGCTCGATACGCAGGTAGCTCAAACTGCAGGTTCTGTTAAAAGGCAAGAAAGTTTTCTATCTGGGAAGACTGATACCAATCCGAGGCACCACTGCAGTGCCATGACGTTGAGGAGTGGTAAAAAGTGGATTTCTCAGTCCAAAAAGACGTTTCCTGCTGCTGAAGTCGTGGATTTAGAAGATCCTGAAGAAGTTCCTGAAGTTGCAGAGTCGGTGACGAGCGACACCACAACTAGTGTCACGCGTCACCAATTGCAGGTCGAAGCTGATATTGCTCCAAAGTGCGAAATCTGCTGAGGAAAAGTTTTACAAACCTAAGGTTCCTTACCCAAGGAGCCCTAAGAAATCCAAGCAGGATCTAGATGATGCAAGGTGCAAGGATTTGATGGAGAAGCTTAAGCTTGTGATTGAGATACCTTTGGTTAATGCTGTGAAAATCACTCCTGTCAACAGACGCTATGTAAAGAGGACGGTGACCAACAATCCCAGCCATGAACAGGGAGTGATGATGATTTCTGAGCAAGTCAGTGCTGTGATTCAGAACAAGATTCCAGAGAAGTTGTCTGATCCAGGAAGTTATGTCTTGGATTGCTCCATATCCACGGAGTGATATGGGTTCAAGTATCAATCTCATGCCGTACTCAGTTGCTGTCAACCTCGGCATGACTGATTTCAAGCCAACGAGGATCTCTCTCATCGTAGCTGATCGATCAACAAGGACATCTTAAGGAGTGCTGGAAGATTTTCTAATCAAGGTTGGAGACTGTGTGATACCAACCGATTTTGTCGTCTTGGAGTATGTAGAGGAACCGAAGGATCCTCTTATCCTTGTTAGACCTTTTCTAGCGACTGCAGGTGCTATCATCGATGTGAGGAAGGGCAGAATTGCTTTGAATGTTGGAGATTTGGTCATGAACTTCGACATGGATAAGCTGATGAAGAAGCCCACCATCGATGGTCAAACCTTCTTCGTCGACACACTCACAGGCTTGGCAGAGGAGATGTTCCTGGAGATGCACCCTGTAGATCCACTGGAGAGACCTCTGATTTTGTCTGCGTCTGAAGCAGAGCACCTGGACGAGATTACAGCATCATATGTCAAGATGTTGGATGCTAGCGAGCAAGTGATGCAGTTGGTGGCTCAAGAGGAACCAATCAACGTTCCTGCAAAAGCCAAAAAGCTCAGCGATTGGAGTGAAGAAAAAGCTTCTAAGCTTGAACTCAAACAGCTTCCTGCAGGGCTAAGGTACGCATTCCTGGAACCTAATTCTACTTATCCTGTAATTGTCAATGCTTCCTTGAACAATGCGGAGCTCACCTTACTTCTAAACAAGCTGCGCAAGTTTCGCAAAGCTTTTGTCTATTCTCTTGATGATATTTAAGGTATCTCTCCGGATATTTGCATGCATCGGATTCACCTGGAAGATGAGACGAAGTCGTCGATTGAGCACCAGAGGAGGCTGAATCTGAATCTGCAGGCGATGGTAAAGAAGGAGATCATGAAGCTGCTGTAAGCTGGGATCATCTATCTGATTTCAGACAGTGCTTGGGTCAGTCCAGTGCACGTGGTTCCAAAGAAAGGAGGTGTCACAGTTGTGAAGAATAAGAGGAATGAGCTGACTCCGACGCGAACAGTGACTGGCCACAGGATGTGTATCGATTGCCAGAAGCTAAACGCAACAACCAGAAAGATCACTTCCTTCTACCTTTCATCGATCAGATGCTGGAGAGATTGGAAAATTGACCATACTCATATTTTGTCATGTTACGGATTGCATTTTTGTCCAAATATTGAGTCTCATGCATACATTTAGCTAGTTTTATTAGAGTTTTATCTTTGGTTCTAGCTTTGTTTAGGAATTGCATTAGATCCTAGAGTGTCCTGCATTTTTGGAGTATTCGGAGGTCATTTGGAGACTTTGGGAGCAACTTGGAGCTGGGATCATGAAGGAACCCTCACCTGTGTAGAGCAACTCGGACTGATGGTTTGGTGCCGACGAGACCCCTACTTTGATTGTCAGAGACGAAGGACTTGCACTGCGATTCAACCTCCAGTGTCTTCATCCAATATCAAGATAATAGAGTCTAGATTTTAGACCATTTGTAATCGACGAATTTGGACCAACGAGCTGAGAGATACGGCCACCTGTAGACAGACCTGTCTCGCATCCATTCCGGAGTAATCCGATACGTCTGAAAGATTACCTGTCCGGGGAGTTTTAGCGACTGATTCAGTTTTCAGGGTCTTTAGCAAAGTTGGCGATGGTCAGGGTCACGAATCCAGAACAGGTAGAATCATTGGGTTTGGAGTCGTGAGCGCATCGTTAAGCTCGCCGGAAGACACACATGTTTCGCTACAGTTTCAAGACCGATGCGATGAGTCACAAAGATTGCGTGGGACGATACCTTTCCATTCTGATTCAGTTTCCGGGTTCTTCATAAACGTTCAAGGTCTCATAGTGATCTTTCCATAACAGCTGAGATCATCCAGTTGGCAGTTAGTTTCTGAAAGATACCACTTCCGGAGTAAACACTGGTCCAAGAGCTTTTCTTTGATCGTTTCAATGCACTGCAGAGTTGAGCTATCCGGGGAACCTTCCACTTCCCAAGCGCTGATGGTTTCTTCACTAAAGTTGGGGCAAAGTGAGTTATCTGTCTACTGAAGCTGGAAAATTTGGATTCTGAACAGTGGTCAGGAAGTTGGGACAGTATATGTATGGTGAGTTCCTTGACACCGGGAAGACTGTGCTCGGTGTTGAAACTTACTTTGAGAGTTCTGAGCTTAAAGATCAACACCGACTCCCACACCGAACTAAGGTACCTTGATGTATTTTCCACTCGTTCAACACTTCAGCATTGCCGGGCATAACATGGAGGAAAAGCTGCGCGGTGCATTTCAACCCGTTCCAGCTAAGACTCCAGCACCGACCACAACATCGGAGAAGAGCACCTCGGTGTAGTTTGATCCGTTTTAACCAGTTCATCCACACCCGCCTCCACACCGGCCCTTTGAACATCGGTGCTTAACCCAGCAAACCAACCTTTTCACAGCCTCGGCTAAGACATCGGCCAGAAGCAAGCCGGTGCCAGCTCCATCGTCGAACCCATACTTTCAACACCGACCATGACATTTACAGGCCCCGGTGCTAGCATCCACGTCCAAGACAGGCTTTACAACGCATCTACATCGAGTACAACATCGGCCAAGTGAACCTCCGTGTAGATGTGTTGGCGTTTTTAAGTGCTTTCTCTCTTGGTCAACACCCGGTTTATCTCGGGGTTACCAGAGACCTAAGGGAGGACTATAAATACTTTTTAAGGTTTTACCCTAAGGACCAAGCTTTATTCCTTTTGTTTATATGCCTCTTTTTTAAAAGACTCCTTTAAGAAGAGAAATATCTCCCTTTTTGAGTTTTAATCAAGAGAGAATCATAGATTTCTGTGTTTAAAGCTGCAAATCCATCATCATCCAATTTTTCCTTCTCCATTTCTCATCATTAATCATGCCAATCTTCTCAACTTGCAAAGGTTTAAGAGAGATTAGTATGATTAGTGAGTAGTTATCTTAATGAGGTTCTAGATGTGTAGGTTAGGGTTCTAAAGTGTTAGATTAAGGATGCTTAGGGGTAGATTTATGATTTCATCTCTCTAAATAGCTGATCTCTAGGCTAGATCCATACACAACATATGTGGTCTAGATCTTAGGCATTTCATGCATCAAAAGTGTTTGATGAAATGCCTAAAAGAGCTATGTTAGAGATCTTTGCATTTAATGCCATGATGATGTTTGTTAATTGCTTAGATGATCTTTTAGAACTGTTTCTTAATGCTCATTGATTCATATTTCACAAATGATGATTTCGTTTGAAAATATATTAGTGTAGAGGTTGATGCCTTCATGAGAGGATTAATCTAGATTAGAGTTCTAAATCATTTGATTCATGTCTCATCATTGTCATTAGCATTTCTAGTTTAGCACCAAGGCATCCTAGTCAACTATTATGTCTACAATCTCATGCTTCCATCATCTCATATTCACATCACTCGTCATTTGCTTAGTTCTTGTTTGATCACATGCTTAGTCACTAATCTTGTTTTAAGTTCTTAGTTGTCATTAGTCAATCAAAACCTCATCTGTTTACTTGAATTGCGAAACTGATCATATAGCTTAGTGTCTATCACCACATTCTTGGATTGACAACCTCTTTTGTGCTGTTTTGACAAGGGAATTGATAGCCCTAAGACCTAAAAAGTCTTGTCTATCAATTGGCGCCGTTGCCAAATTGTGGAGTGTTTAGTATTAGGCTCTCATCTGTTCTTGAGATCAAGTACTTATTTTTTGTTTTTACTGATTACTTTCAAGTTCTGTTTTTGATTTCAGGTGTATGAACACCAGGTCCAGATCAAGAAGGAGAAGGGATAGGCGTGGAAGATAGACTGATCAGGCTGATATGAAAGTTCAAAGACAGCATGTGGTTGACATTGAGCCGCAGGCTCAAGAGGGGCAACAGGCTCAGGTGCAGCAGGGTAATGGAGTTGGTAAGAGTCATCTTTGGTCTTCACTATGTATATATCGACAGGTGCAATGCCATCTCCAATCCTTAGAGGAATGTCTCGGGTTATCCCTCTTGGTGTTTCACTTGAATCATTTGCTAAGCTAATCTTTGTCCTGGTACTTGAAATGTGCTTAATGTCAAGTCTCAAAGCAGTTGCTTTGGACATCATTTTAATGCAAGCTCCAGAATCACAAAGAATATTGAGGAATCTTTCACCCCTAATGTTACAAGAGATAAGAAGTTGACCTTTGTCTTGAACTTTGCGCAGAGTTCGAACTTGTCTACCTTCTTGGGCGTGTGTGAACAAGTCTTTCATCTCTTGGATAGATTCTTTGCTGTTGCAAAAGAAGTGGCCGATCAGGTGGTCTCTACATGCTTTGGCAAACAAAATTCCCTTGGGCAGAGTTTGAACTACTTGATTGAACTCTTCAAGTGCTTCTTTGCTGATCTTGTTTGTGTAGTCACTGGTTTCTTGGGGATCTTTGAGATGGATCCTGTAAACAGCTGCATCAGGTGATGATCTAGGAAAAGATAGATACCTGGGTCTTCTGAAATATGTAGAGATGTTCTCCTTAGTCTCCTTGCTGTATCTGAAGAAAACTTGAAGGCAGCTTTGCTTCCAAATATCATCGAATCCGAGATAGAGAGGAATAGACTACACAAACTTGTTGAATTCGATTAGTCTCTCTCTAGATTTGCTTTTGGTTATTGGTTATGAGTTGTCATCAGATGAATCGTCCCCAGGGTTTGGATCTTTTACAAACAAACCATACTCTTCATTTTCTGAGAATTGCTCTTGAAACTCATTGTCACAAGTGTAAACCATGTTCCAAGATGCATAAGGTTGGATTCCTCCTTTTCCATTGATGCTTGTGCAGTGATTGAGAAGACAGCTTGATCAAACAACCTAGGTCTGGTCATATGAGGTCGGTTTTCAGTTGAACAAGTTTCAGAAAGAGGTTGGAAGTTTTCCCAATCTGAGAAATCATGCTACACTGCGGAGGAGGAGCTTGGAGCCGCGGTGGAAATGGCTCTGGCATGCTCAGAGAGGTCA